ATTACGCAGGTGGAGGAAAGCGGTCCGTTAACATTTTTAATATGGGGGCTAAAAGACATGTCCTGATCAAAAACAACACCAAGATTTTTAACATTAGAACTGGAGGACAGATTAATGCTATCCAGAGGAAGTGAAAGACTAAGAAATTCATTCCTCAGGTGCTCAGGTCTAAAAACCAAAACCTCAGTCTTGTCTGTGTTCAAAAGCAGAAAATGTAGTGTCATCCAGGTTTTTATGTCTTTAAGACATGCTTGTTGTCTAAGTAGCTGATTGGATTCATTGGGTTTAATGGACAAATATAACTGTGTATCATCAGCATAACAATGGAAATTTATCCCATGATGTTTAATAACTTTACCTAATGGAAGCTTATAGAAAGTAAAGAGTATTGGTCCAAGCACTGAGCCCTGAGAAACTCCATGACTAACTTTGGTGTATGAAGATTCATTATTTACATTTACAAACTGTAATCTATCAGATAAATATTACTTAAACCATTTTAGAGCCGTTCCTGTAATTCCAATATCATATTCAAGCCTCTGTAGTAAAATATTGTGATCAACTGTATCAAATGCAGCACTGAGGTCCAACGGGTGGAGAGGGAGACCACAATGTTTTTCACTGAAAAAGATGCTGCATTCAGTACCATCAAGGAATGATTTGTGTTTGGCCATTTCAAGGTTTTATATTAAACTCTTCTTATATTTCCCAGTTGTACCTTTTTGTTGGTCACAGGAAATGTAATAAAATATTTAAAATAAATCCTTGATTTTGTTTACATTTATTGTTGGTTTGTTATTTTATGAGAAACGCTCGTTAGGGAGTTCCTGTGGAATTTTCAACAAAGATGTATCACACAATTTGCAAACAAGGCATTTTAGTAGAAAACATCTTTTAGTTATTGATTCACAAACGTGCCAGAGTCTGAGCTGCCAACAAATGTTTCCTAAAGATGTGATACAAGCTCATTTTATACGTGCGTGCAAGTTTTCAAATGGTAAACACAAACTTTATGGACATGAGTTGTGACTGAATCAGAGACGAGCTTCAGAAATTGTAGAGATATTTAATATGTTTTTGTCTAAAGTGATGTCTTAATGTTAATGTTTAATAATACATTCATTAAAAAAAAACGCTTTTACACTTTTTGCTGTCAAAACAGAATATTTAAAACATCAGAATTATGGCTGGACGATATGGCCAAAACTTCTGTCACGATATATTTTTTAATTTCGGTTGATAACGATATAATTCCGATATTGATATAAACAATATAAAAGCCTCAGAAAAACTGTACAAAGTGTATCAATAATTCATCTTCACCTTTTATTTGTATTTAGCCTTCAAAGAATTTTGAAATCACGGTCAAATATAAAACTCTCAACTTTGTCAATATGAATAGTTGTAACTTTAAACAACAACATAACTTAAGCCATGTAGCAACACGTCTGCGTTTGCTGCATGGGTTATATGTTGTAGGACGCCGAATTTGTCCTTCCTCTCTTATCAGTTATGTCATCTGCTTTCTCTTTGCTTGTGAAAGCTTGTTCAGTCACATTCTGACGGTCGTGGGAACTCATTTAGAAGAGAAAACACCGCGCGTTGAAGCCTAGCCTAGCCTAGCTTGCTACCGCTGACTCCTTCTAGCTGTGGTGTACGTCACCACACACTTATGTAGTTGTATCACGGCTCGTTCTGTTAGGTTTGAAACAGCTGCCGGTGAACTCGAACAGAAAAAGAAATGTGTCAGTGAAACACTGTAAACATAGCATAATGTAAATTGAAATATAGAAAATGTGCTTAAAACGCATATCACTGTTATTGAATAAAAGTTTATCGTGATATATACCAATATCAAATTATTATCCAGCCCTAATCAGAATATTTATTTATTCGTTTAAAACAAAAAATGACTATAACCACCACTAAGAACAGGAATTCTTAGTCTTGACTTGTTATGTGGTTATCTAGCAACTACACAGAGCGTCCAATAATTCTCCATCCATTGAGCCTCCATCTTTTTTCTTTGATGATGGTTCTCAGAACACTGACTCAGCCCTGTCCATTTATATACCTCTCATTAGATGGTACATTAATGGACATGAAAATGGTACTTCCTCAAGTTATTTAACAGTCAAAAATGGTGTACCATAAGGCTCAGTCTTAGGACCTACCCTCTTTACAATCTGCGAAGGTAATGTAGGTCAGAGCATCCCTGATGCATCCTTACATTTCCATGCTGATGACACAGTTGTTTATTGTCAAGCTAAAACAGTTGATAAGGATTTCCAGCTTTTGCAATCCACCTTTGACATCATCCAGTCTGATTTGTTGCATCTCAAATTTGTCCTAAATGCCGACAAAAACCAAAGGGATGTTTTTTACAAACGGGTAGTTGATCCCAGCATGCTTCACGTGGAAAACCTAGGAAAGAAACAGAAAGTTATTTTTTTTATTTATTTTTTTCAGAAATAGATGCTGTCTAACTCTGAATGCTAGGAAATGCCTTGTAACTGGCATTATAACTATAACAGGTTTTTTTCTTCCCTCCATTAACTGCAGTGACATCATTTACATGAATGATCCTACAAGCACCTGCAGATGTTGGATGCTGTCTATCATGGTGCACTAAGATTCATAACTGGCTGTAACTATTATTACTATTGTTCTAAAATTGCGCCGCTCAAGGTGGCTGCATGTTGGAGCAGCTCAGTTACTTTCATTCTGAGATTTTGCTTTTGGAAACTTTAATTCCTCTTTTTCTGGATGTAAATCATATTTTTTTTGGATGATTGTTTCCTCTGGTATCAGATGCTGTGCAGCTGGAATGATTTTTACTTAAACTTTTTTAGTTTTGGACATTTGTTATGATGCGTAACCATGGCAACAAGGCAGTTTTCTACAACCAACAGCAGCTGATTAACATCTCAAAAGCTCAAATAATATCTCAACTACAGCCCCAAATCTCAAATTAGTTGAGAAGGATGTTCTGTGGATGCATTCTCATCTACCTGCCAGCTGTGCTCGAGTGCTTGATCACTGAGATCCTGGAACTAGCAGGAAACACGGCTCATGACAGCGGAAGGACAGGATCGTCCCTTGGCACCTACAGTTGTCTGTCCGCAGCGACGAGGAGCTCAGCAGACTGCTGGGAGGAGTGGTCATCGCTCTGGGAGGAGTTCTGCCCGGCATTTGGGCGGTCCTACAGCCCGAGGGGAACCGAGAGGTCAGCCGAGTCTGGGCGGCATCTGCAGCCAGTTTCTTAGGATCCACTGTGGGATGGACCTTTACAAGAGATCCTTCCTGTCTACAGCCATCAGTATCTATAACATCTCTTAATGAAATGAGGATAACGAGTTACAACAACAAATTATTTCCCTTTGGGATTAATAAAGTATTTTTGAATTTGAACTACCGTACCCATCACTGCACCCTGTATTAACTGGACATCATTAACTTCACGCAGACTCTCTCACTGGTACATTTTCATCTTTAAATCACTTCTTGGTCTGTTGCCTTCATACATCTCCTCCTACATGTCTCTGTGTGAGTGCAGCTACAGCGTGCGCTCTCAGGACATTATTACCTGCAGTGTTCCCTCAATGAGGACTGAAATAGGCAAAAGGACCTTCTCCTCCTCCGCTCCCGTTTCCTGGAATATCTTACAAAAAGATCTGAAGCTCTCGACCTTGACCTCTCTAAGTGGCTTCTGCTAAGTTCATGGCAAAAACCAACTCAACACATGTTCCTGTTTTTAGTTTTCTACATCGCCTTATAATCCAGCTGTTTTCGCTACTTTTTTTTGGCATCTTATTTTAATTAAAAAAGAAAAACATCTGTATGCCTCTTTTATGATTGTCTCTTGTTGTCCACTGTTGTCATCACTCTTTGTTCAAATCAGGTCTCTCTTGTAAATGAGTCCTCGAGACTCAATTGGATTAACCTGTTTAAATAAAGGTTGAATGAAAACATACATATTTGACATAAATAGATCGTGGACATGTTAGGGCTTGGTGCAGATCAGCCCAATCATTTTCTAACAGTACTCATCTTGTAAAAAGAAGATTTTAAAAACAGAGTGAATTTGTGATGCAGCCTGATTTCCTTGTACGGTATGTGCTTAAAGAAGTGTTTATTTTTGAACATGGGGGATTCTCTACTAGCAGCTTTCTATGAAGTTACTTCTGATGGAAAAGGCGTGTATGTCCAGGCTTTAAAATAAAAAAATAAAAAATCAGTTTTCTACGGCATTTGACAACTCTCAGTGGAAGACTGCAGTGGATCTCAGACACCCAGAACTGTTCATTAAATCATCTATTTCCAAAACAGAGGTTTGCTTTTGTGTCCTTGGATGCAAATTAAAATAGGTTTGGCCTTCAGTTGCACATGTTTTGGTGCCAGCTGTGGTTTGGTTTGGTGCACATACTGCTGCTGGGCATTGTAAAATAGAAAGACATGTTGTCTACCAGCCCTGTGAGCTTAACATTAAACATGTTTGTTGGTCATTTTAAACTCTGGACCCGACAGCTTCATAATAAATAAAGACTGGAAGTTATTTTCATTTGTATTTGTCAGTATCTTGTACTGTCTCGTATATAAATGTGCTTTGTTTTTGGCCACAGTAAAGATGGTTCTTACTGTCCTGTGGTATGGCTCCTTTTAGTCTTCTGTGTCTGGAGCATTTAGCTGAAATTAGAGCAACTCTTCAGTTGGAGCAGGAAGATATAAAAAGAAGCAGGTCTTGACCGGGCGATGAAACGACTCCCCCCTGCAGAGGACGGGTGCAACTCCAGCTCATCTGCTTTTCTCATGTCAGAGATAGAAGAGGTTGACCCTAAATCCTGAGAGAGATGCTAAAATTAAAGCGAGTTTGTGTGTTTTGTTTTTGAGTTTAACCTGGATTAACTGGTTTTGACTCCGCAGTCGTTCACTTTCTGAGATCTTACTTATATACAATGTATTTGCTCTCAACATTTCATGGATCTCATGTTCTTTCTCAGGTGATATCCACGGGCAGTACACCGATCTTCTGAGGCTGTTCGAGTATGGCGGCTTCCCTCCAGAGGCAAACTACCTGTTCCTGGGTGATTACGTGGACAGAGGGAAGCAGTCTCTGGAAACCATCTGCCTTCTGCTGGCCTACAAGATCAAGTACCCGGAGAACTTTTTCCTGCTCAGAGGCAACCACGAGTGTGCCTCAATCAACCGCATTTATGGCTTTTATGATGAGTGTACGTTCGCTCAGAGAGTGTGTATGTTTACACGACTGCTCTGAAGTGTACGGTGTTCGCTTCATAAACTGTGTTTGTGTGTTTACAGGCAAGCGGAGGTTCAACATTAAATTATGGAAGACATTCACAGACTGCTTCAACTGCCTCCCCATTGCTGCAATTATTGATGAGAAGATCTTCTGCTGCCATGGAGGTGAGGGGCTAAACCTGTTCACGAATCTAGAAATCTAAATTATAAAGTGTTCTTCCTGTGGTTTAAAATGTGTGTAAATGTAATCTCTATAACCAAATGTAATGTCTGTGTGTTCTGCTCAGGGCTTTCTCCTGACTTACAGTCCATGGAGCAGATCCGCAGGATCATGAGGCCAACAGACGTCCCAGATACAGGTACAGCTTGAGTCTGGGTGTACCATATTTTTCACCCTACAAGTCGCAATCTTTTTGCATAATTTGCGTGCCCTGTGACTTATACGCCAAAGCAACTTATTTATGGATTTTTCCATATTTATGAACCAGTTTTTGGCTGAGATATGACCGTTTTCATTCATTCTGACTGAAAATATGGAACACTACCATTTTCAGTCAGTAGATGGCACTCTACCTGTATGGCATGCTGTTGTGTCATGTAATAGGTAAAAGTGGCTATTAATGACGCATTCGGCTTGCCATACTCTGCCACCATCATCTGCCTGGAGCAACCGTCAAATCAGCTTCAATTCGCTTTTCCACCCCAGTGAAATGAAGCTGATTTGACCATTGAAGTGCATTTATTAAGTAAAAGTTCAACTGAGATTAGAGATTCGCGATATTGGATTTTTGGCCGATATCCGATATGCTGATAAGTTAAAACTTATTTGGCTGATAATCGATGCCGATACCAATATTTTATGTACTTTCCTTTGTCAGAACATAGCATCTTATTTAGACTTATTTACTACAACTATTGTGCAACAGCTGTAAGAGCTGGTGACCTATATTCACTAACAGCCATATTCATAGCACTTTGACTTATATTAAATGAAAAGTGTTAAATGTTATTTATTAGCATCAGTCACCTGCGATGCAGTTTCACTTGTGGAGGCTTGTTCCAGGTTCCTATAGCTGCAGTGTGGGATCCTCTGCACTCCTGTGCATGAAGGACAGACTTTTTAAGATCAAAGTTTTTGTCTATCCATTGTGCCGTAAGACCAATCATGCTAACGGGGCTAACACGACGTCTAAATGTCTGTGGTAAAACTCACCAAGTGCTTTTGGCTATTAGCTTCTCCGTGATGTCGGAAGTGACGGCTTGTATATCGGGTACGGCTACGTCGGAAAAATATCTCCGACTGGGGACGATGTAGCGAGGCTCAACGTAGTCCAAAAATCTTTGGAATCCGACATCCTCACTAATGAAAAATAAAACTTCCACGCCGCCGACATTTTGAATATTACTCTCCGCCGTGAGCTTGGGAAGGCGCACGTGACGTCATCACGTTGTGCTGCTGCTGCAGGAAAAAACAGCGTCTTTTATATCGGCGAGGTATTTTAATGGAATAGCCGTCGTCTGATATTGAAATTTAACGCTAATATCGGCCGATACCGATACCATGCCGATAATATCATGCATCCCTAACTGAGACACACCTTTACTATAATGTCAAGCAAACAAATAATTAAGTGTTTCTCTTGTTAAATTCTTGTTAACCTCCTCCCGTGCACGTTCCTGCGGCCACCGTTTGGCAGCCAATCGATTTTTGACACAACACCGGCCCACATTTCCGTGCTGCCAGCGGTGACGTGTAACAAATACGACGCGTCAGCGGTGATGTATAATAGATGCGACGTATTTATAAATGTTTCCACTTTATTAGACAGATTTGGAGTGATGCAACTTATAGGGCGGTGCGAGGTTTACGGCAGAAAACACGGTACTTTTAGAGAATACTCGTACTCAGTCCTGAGTATCTTCACCCTGTCTGGATTTCTGCCTGAAAAACGTTTAGTTTAAATAAAATAAAAAAACAGCATTTCTCTTCCTGATCTGAAAACTTTTATATCAGCAGTTCTGTGTTTTCTCACCATCATCTGGTAATGATGCCTTTTCAATACTCCCCCCGTGTGTCCCATCAGGTCTGCTGTGCGACCTGCTGTGGTCAGATCCTGATAAGGATGTGCAAGGCTGGGGGGAGAACGACCGTGGGGTCTCCTTCACGTTTGGGGCGGATGTGGTCAGCAAGTTCCTAAACCGGCATGACCTGGACCTGATCTGCAGAGCCCACCAGGTAACGAGGAGCGGAGCTCAACACTGTTGTGGTCCAGCTTCAGCGTGATTCTCGTCCTCTAGTTTTTTAACTAGTTCAACAAATCATAAATCAAAACATTCAGCTCTTTCAGGACAATCCTGCTATGAATTTGGGCGTTGGTGCATCTTTAGCTTTTTTAAATATTTAGCCCTTTATGCCATTTTGTTCCTCATAGAAAATGAATTGAGCTCATTTTACATCCGTCAAATCTTTAGATCTGTTTACAACCTTTTGCTGCTCCTTTCTCTTTTTGTTCTGGTTCAGCTGCTTTCAGCTTCCTTGTGCAAATTTAAACTTCTTTTCAGCTACTTTCAGCTACTATTTAGCTGTTTTATGTCTTCAAACAGGTTGTGGAGGACGGATACGAGTTCTTTGCCAAACGCCAACTGGTCACGCTTTTCTCTGCTCCAAACTACTGCGGGGAGTTTGATAATGCAGGCGGCATGATGAGTGTCGATGAATCCCTCATGTGCTCCTTCCAGGTGATTTTAAACAAACTAAACGTTGTTTTTCTGGACGGACTCGTCGCCATAGAAACGCTCGCTCACGTGTCGTACTTGTTGTCTTTAAGATCCTGAAGCCCTCGGAGAAAAAGGCCAAGTACCAGTATGGTGGTGTCAACTCTGGTCGGCCTGTCACCCCACCCCGCACCACCCAAGCCCCCAAAAAGAGGTGAACTGGCAGCTGCAGCACCCCGCCCCCCCATTTTGTTCATTCCTGGTTTGCCGTCATGGCAGCCCCTGTAACGCCCCCTGAAGAGACGAGGCTAATCAGAAACACCTTTCTTAATGTGTATGTGTACATAAGCTCGACGTGTCAATCTGTTTATTTATTTTGACTTTTTAATTTGCCTGTGTTCAGATTTATTTTCTAACAATCATTTTGGTGGTTTTCCTTCCAGTGCTATCGAAGGTTTTCTGAAGTGTTGTGTAAAGAAAAGCCTTCTGTGTCGTGGGGGCAATGTGACCAAGTTACAGAAAACCTTTTTATTTTCTTGTCTCTGTAATAAACAAAAATTCAACTTTATTTTGACTTCTCAAAAAAAAAAAAAGAAGATATTTCATGTTTGTCTCATTTTGATAATATAGTTTAGTGCAGAGCTGAATTCACAGATTAAAAACAACTCCCACTTTCAACAGATTACAGCATGCGCCGTGCACTTGGTGATTTTTGTGCACAAGTGTATTCCGATTAAAGTGCACGTCCTGGTTTGTAACAGATTGAACGTGTTCAGACGCGGTGAACACAACACGCTCCGAGCATCGATTTCTCCTCTAACTCCACTCCCACACTGAAACTGCTGCTGGCGACCTTTTCTCTCACTGGGAACGTTTCTCTGGTTGAACCTTTTTGTAATAAAGCGACGAGTAACGGTTTTGATTACGCTGATCTGACGCCACGCTTCAGCAGCACAAAAAAAGAGCCTCGTAAAACTGCTAATATCTAAAGTGTTTGTTGTGATATGATGCTTTTAGAAATAACCACCATGTTCCCCTCTCGCCTCCCAGTCCGTTGAGGTACAGTGTGTGAAAACCAGCAGAGGAGGGAGTGGGTGGAAGACCCCGTTTTAGCTTCTCTGTGACTATTCCACCACCCAGTGTACACATGCAGCGCTGCCGTAAAAAAACAGGGTACGCCACATTTTATTGATCCTTTCTCATAAATCAGGACGAAGTTTTCATTACTTACCAGAATAAAATGTGTCCTTTACTGTTCTGCTCACCCAAGGTTGCAGTCATTCTGGTTGGTGTGCGCTTCAGTCTCTGCTGCTCTTTTATAGTGAAGACGTTTTCTATTCTCCATCCTTATTTTTGTTGTTGCATTCTTTATTATCAGTTTATGTTAATTAGCTTAATTAATAATCTTGATGACAAGAAACAGGATGTTACTAAAAGCTGTTTAGCAGGTTGTACAAGTTTGTTTTGAAGTCAATAAAATGAATAAAACACAAAGTTACTGAAGTTATTGTTATTTTATTTCCATAAAGTAAAGACAAAAAACTTTGGGCCTCACAATACTTGTGATTTTATAAAATACTAAATCAACCTATAGCATGTTTGTTTCTTTTTTTCTTTTTTTTTAAGCTGTAAATACCGTATTTTTTGGACTATAAGGAGCACCAGTTTATAAGAAGCATTGAGCGAAAACCAAAATAGTCCATGCTCAATAATCCAGGTATACAATCCCAACAATTTTCAGTCAAGTCATCTGGACAGTTTCTTTTTTTGCTCAAACGTTTCACCTTCCATCCAGAAGGCTTCATCAGTCAAGGAAACGCCCAACACAAAATTGATTCTTCCCCCAAACAGCTTACTCCAAAGTGGAACAAACCAGTTATGTTGGTGCTAAGATGGTGTCTTTGGCACGCCCCCTCCTCTTGTGCCGGCCCTCTTCCTCGTCAACAGTCATGTCAAACTGGTTCAAAACCAAAAAGTTGGTGCTTAGAAAATTGTTGGATTGTATACCTGGATTATTGAGCATGGATTTTTTTGGGTTTGAACCAGTTTGACATGACTGTCGACGAGGAAGAGGGCCGGCACCACAGGAGGGGGCGTGCCAAAGACACCATCTTAGCACCAACGTAACTGGTTTGTTCCATTTTGGAGTAAGCTGTTTGGGAGAAGAATCAGTTTTGTGTTGTGTGTTTCCTTGACTGATGAAGCCTTCTGGATAGAAGGTGAAACGTTTCAGAAAAAAAAAAAAAAAAACTGTCCAGATGACTTGACTGAAAATTGTTGGATTACGTGAAAAGTTCATTTTGACAGATTTTTGAGCGAAGTGTACCTCATAAAATCTGTTTGAAGTTCATAAGCACAACCAGAATTAAGGCGCACCAAATTATAAGGTTCACTGTCGATTTTTGAGACAATTCAAGGATTTTAAGTGCGCCTTATCGTCCGAAAAATACGGTTTGTGGTGAACGTGCTTTTAAGAAAAGTCATATATAGTCCAAGATAACTTCAAACAGCAAAGTAGATGAAAATAGATCAAACCTCTTACTCGTTCTACAGATTCTGCACATTCTTGTTGCAAACACACAATACAGATGTAAACAAAGAGCATGTTGACAAAACTACCATATCGAAGGTTACAAGGCTTTTGCACTTCTTACGTCTTAAACCATCAATAAGTAGCTACAAGAAGCTGCTTGCCAAAGCCCTGGTATTACCACGTCCAAACTAATCCAGATCAAATGCCTGACGGTAACACGTGCACAAAAAAATGGCTAGAAAGAATATGTGAATCACCTGGAACTTAAGATGACAAACAAAAAGAGGCTACTGGTGAATTCTGGGAAAATAATATTGAGCTCTTATAGGGTTTCTATTTGACAATCCATATCTGCTTAGTATTGGTGTATTTTTGAACAAGTGCATTAAAAATGTCAATAACTTGTCATTACATAGAGATTATAATTTACTAACCTAAGCATAAATGGGCTGTTAAGTTCTCCTGCATTCACATTATTGATACAGATTTTAATTCCAATGTAAAATGAGGTCTCTGTTGGGCTCAGTCAACTTTGTGCATCATTTTCTGAAGCTCGACCTCTCAGTTTCTTCTTAGCCCATCTCAGACCATCATGAGTCAGCCGTGAATACAAAAACAGGACCAGCAGCCGGAGGAGAAACGGAGCTGCCGGGTCGAGGTAAGGCAGGATCCAGATGAGGAGAACCCTCAGTGCCACTTTCAAAAGGAGGAGATTGTAGCTGATGAGGTTCTGAAAACTCAATATTGAGCTTTTTCTGAGAGGAAGAACCAGATTATGCCAAACTCTACTTTTACTCCTCTATACATCATAACATGTCCATCCTGTTCAGGGTCCATATGAACATCATCATTCACCACACACCATCGGTAGTAATCAATATAAAGAAATGTTTTTCTGTCTTAATCATGGTTTGATTGTGTTGGAACCATTCTCAGAGAATTTCAGCCTAGAGTTTGTATTGAAATAATTTTAACGTGCTTCAAAATGGTGATGTCCGTAATTAAAAACATTTAATATTAAAAACGTTCAATCTATAAAGTATTATAAGCTTTGCTGTTATGTTTTAAAACAAGAAATGCTCACTAAATTTGAGCTACAAGTAATTGATGAAAATAAAGTATAATAATGTTAAAAACAATTTGTATACTGGTTTACTTACTTGGGTTGTAGTTCTGAGTTAAGGCATTGCTGCAAAGAGAACTTGGAAAAACAATGTACATTTTAAACCAACTGTACAAATACGATGCGATTCACCTTCCGACCGCATGGGGGCAGTATGTGTGACTGATTCAGTATAAATCCCGCGACGTAGCTGACTTTTGAGGAAGCAGCGGGACATCAGATTTCTATAGTAGTTGGATGGGTTACAGCCAGCTGACAATACATGTGACGTATTTTAAGATCAATGCTATGACGAACGCTGTCTGAAGCAAAAGTGTAAGCTAACGCTAATGCTCATTCTGTACCACTTTCAGCTAAATAATTGATAAAAGCCCGCTTGAGCTGTTAGAACTGAGCATGTTTTATCTTTGTTACAATTATTAGTATTTTATAGACACAAGCAAGTTGCTATGTTTTGGAAGCTAAAAGTGTGCTTGTCTGGTTTGCTGTTTACAACTCTGAATTTCCGGTAGCTAATGTTACCTTGTGTGCTACCGTTTAGCTTAAGCAGGAAATAATTACAGAAAGAGGTAACTGCATTACAAAGTGTAACATGCCAGCCATTTTAATTACTTGTTTTTGTCGACTTTTTACAGTTAAAGCAACATCAGTCGACTGTTTTAACATTTTATTGCTGGTGCTGAGTGCTTTGCTGCTAAATGTTTAACATTTTAATAGAAAACTCACTTGGTGCATCGATGAAACTTGAGCTACAAGAGGTGTTTAATTCATTATCTACTCAAAAAGTGGAAGAAGATTTGTTGCTTGAGTCGCAAACCGTGTTGCTTCACACTTGTGTTGTAATCCCAAACCTCCAGGCTGACCAGAAGTCCCAGTCCGAGCTTTGATGTGCCCACCATCAGCCCCACGCTGCTCCTTCAACAATGAACTATGGGAAGCTTCAAGCCGAGTGAAGAATGGCCAGGTTTAGGTTCAAAACTTGCATTGGATCTGTTGCTTTGGTGTCCTTCCTACTCATCATAACCCTGATTTTGAAGGCTCTCACACCTGAGGGTCCTTCTCTCTACAACCCAAGAGACATTAGGGTGATCCCAGACCAAAGGAATGATCCACAGATCCAAAGAGACGGCAAGAAATCATCTGAAGAGACCAGAATGAACGACGCTGCTGAGTCAAATAGGAATGCAGAGCTGGAAGCCACGCTCAGGAAGTTTCCTCCCCCAAACTACTATCTCCATGCTTTCTACTACGTATGGTATGGTAATCCCAAGTTTGATGGCAAATACATCCACTGGGACCACCCACAGCTGCCACACTGGGATGCTAAGGTGGCCCAGGGTTACCCACAAGGCAGGCACAGCCCTCCTGATGATATTGGGTCCAACTTTTACCCCTCTTTAGGACCGTACAGTTCCAGGGACCCCTCTGTTCTGGAGGCTCATATGCAGCAGCTGCGTACAGCAGCTATCGGTAAGACATGAGTGACTCGAACTGTTGGTTATTAAAAACTGCCTTTTTTGGAGTTTAACATTTTTTTTGTGTCGTGATTAAATGGGTGTAAAAAAAAATGACTGAAAATGTAGAAATGAAATGAGCCACAGATGCCACTTAAAAGATTATATTAATCATATATCACTAAAAGTCATTAGGCATATATTTTAATGCTGATATAAATAATTTGTTATACGTTTTCTGATGACTCGAGCAGAATTAATGAGATCATTACAAATTAATATTTTATAGCAGCATATAATACATTTTGTTATAATGAGTAAAATTATTGTGGAGGAATTAAATGTTTTTTTTAAGTTTGTAAAATTCGTTCAGTTTTTGGACAGTGCTTTTAAAAGTGTTTTATGCTAAATAAATTTCTCAGGAGTCATCGCTGTTTCCTGGTATCCTCCGTCAACTAATGATGACAACGGTGAGCCTATAGACAGCATCGTGCCTTTGCTGCTCGAGGTGGCACATAAATATCACATTAAGGTTCGTATCATGGTCACATTTTCTTCAGCACCAATGTCTGATTCAAAGCCTAACTAACTGACATTCAGATTAAGTGCAAAAAAGTGTAACTCAGGCCAATGTGTTAATCAACCGATCACCTGAATACAGCAAGGATTTAATACATTTTACAGATTTAATGACGGGACTTATGCTACGATATTAATAGTTGGTGATTTTAACATTCATGTCTGCTGTGAGGCTGGTCAAAGATTTTATGAACATTATTGACTTGATCTCACGCAGTCCGTCGCTGGTGCCGCTCATGAAAAAGGGAACACTGGCCCTTGTGCTGTCTTATGGAATAAATGTGTCAACTGTGGAACTTTTTTTATCGGACCATCTACCTGTTCTGGTCTCTGGTAGGAAGGAATGGGCTGGATCATCTGTGCGTTCTGCACGCTCATTTAATTCCGACGCCGCGCTGCATTTCTCCACTGGTTTTAAGGACTTGGTCTCTTGCAACCCTCAGTTCCGCTCTCTGTCCAGTGTGGACGAGTTAACGGGTCTTTTTAGTTCTACATGACCTTCTGAACTCTGTTGCTCCACTTAAAATGAAACGGTCAAAGTCATCTCAGTCATGGCTGAACAAAACATCTGCGCTGTCAGACGTCAGTGCAGACGAGCTGAGAGGAAAAGAGTAAGGACAGACTGCAGGTTTCCCTGGACATCTTTAAAGACATTCACTTCTCAGAGAGCTGTTAAAGCTGCTTTTTATCCAACGTGGTTTTAAACAACAGTCACAGACCTCAGGATGTTTTTAACGTTTTTAACTCTGATGTGAATCCTTGTGATGCTGGTCCTGTTGCTGAGTCTCCTGCACGGTGTGAAAGGTGATCGGACCGTTGTGGTTGCTGCTCCAAAACTAGAAGAGTTCATTTGAGTATTTAAAAACTGCTGAGACTTTAAATATTTGCTGAAGACGCACCTTTTCTCCCTGGTGTTTGATCCAGGCAGAGCTTGAGAACCAGTTAGAGCTGATTTTTATTAACTTTCTTGTGTGTTCTTGGTGACACAAGATGTATTTTCTTGTTCTTCTTTCTTGTTTTCATTTTAATTTGACTAAACTGTAAAGCACTTTGGTCAACACTTGTTTTTTTTATGTACTTTATAAATAAATTGATATTTACATATTTATTTATACAGAAAATCATTTTCATAGTTATAAAGCAGACTGAGTTAAAAAATGAAAAAGGTAGATAACATTAAAAACCTCTTTAAAAAGTAACTGAAATACAATATTGCTTTTCTTATTATAATACAAATCTCAAAAGAAAGTAAGTTTTAATGTCCAGTGTTTTATGGTATGAGATCTAATAATCGAAAAACATCAAAGTTCATGCTCAATAATCCAGGTAAAATCTTTGACGAAATGTGGAAGTGTGACCGCTGCAGTGACTGGATCACAGAATGTGACATATTATCAGATCTTGTAATGTGGTCAGAAAAGGACTAAGAGAAAATATTAAATATTTGTTTAAGAATTGTCCACTGAAGCTGTCGCACATTCTGGTTGTTCATCTCTTTTTCTCAGACATTTGATCCATTTGATCACGGTCATCACCGTCAGACTGCGGTTGTCCTGTCATAGCAGGATGTGGTCCAGCGTGTCGTGGATATCTGGTTGCTCTGAAAAGAGTTTATATATATATATATATATATATATATATATATATATATTATATATATATATATATATAAACAAACCTTGAGTACACAGTTTCATTCCATCTCATGTACCACATGTTACACAAATGACAGTAACATCTCCTTGAACCTTGACACTTGCTTTATTGGGGTAAGGTTAGTCCTGTCGCAATAAACAGTAAATCAATTAATCACACGATAAATGAAAACGAGATCGATAATTTTCATTTATCGGCCTTATTGTTTCTTCGTGTCTCTCTTTCTACTGAAGACACTGGATGACAAATGGTTCAACTCCAGTGCTCTTCACTGACCCCTCCCTTGCTTGTTTCTCTTTAAAATCCATTTTAACATCCAAAATCTCGTTTTTGAATCGCTAAAAGCAGCTAAGCTACGAGCTAAGCTAACAGGTAAACCTCGGGGGAAAAAGACCTTTGTCTTGTCAAAGCTCCAAAATTCATGGTTGAAACCCGTGCCTTCATCGAAAAAGTTGTTTTTCTCTGTAAAAAGAAGCTGAGAACTTGTTTACTGATTTTTTTTTTATTAAAAACTTTGTGCGAAAAATGCTATGCTAAAGAATTCAAACCACACCTAGCGTCCGCCATTTTGAGAACTGAAGAAAGAAAAGATAGACAGCCCATGTCATGTCAAGGGGCCTCCCTCTCATTTTTCTTAGAGACACGCTGCTCGCTCCCTCACTATCCATCCTTTGGTTCAAACAATCTTATACTGCCATTCAGTGGCCAAAAAGGTACTGCACTCAAAACAAATTAACCAACATTTCTTCTTACATTTGACAATAATTACTAATTATTGTCAAATTTCAATCAATATTATCGTTTATCGCAATAATTTCTGAGACAATCGCCCAGCAAAATGTATTCTCATGACAGGCCTAGGTAAGGTTTTTGTACAGTTTTGAAAAATAACCATTTGTTGTGTTTTACCTGATATATGTTTACAGGTTGTTTTTCACATTGAGCCATACAGAGGAAGAGATGAAGTCAACATGTTCACTAATGTCAAATACGTCATTGAAAAGTGAGTATCACTGTGTTTTATGAATCTGTAATCCAACCCAGAAATATTGTGTTTTATGAATCTGTAATCCCACCCAGAAATATTGTTTTATGAATCTGTAATCCCACCCAGAAATACTGTGTTTTATGAATCTGTAATCCCACCCAGAAATATTGTTTTATGAATCTGTAATCCCACCCAGAAGTATTGTGTTGTCTATTTAACTGTGGTTATCTTTTCTCCTCAGATACGGAGAGCACCCAGCGTTTTTCAAGTACCGGACAAACACTGGCAAACTTCTTCCACTTTTTTACGTATACGACTCGTATTTGATGAACTCGGAGCAGTGGGCTAAGCTGCTGAAGCACACGGAGAGCAGCAGCATCAGGGATACTCCGTACGACGCCATTTTCATAGCACTGCTGGTCGATGAGAAGCACAAGATGGACATCCTGACCGCGGGGTTTGATGGCGTCTACACATACTTCGCCACCAACGGGTTCTCCTACGGCTCCACTCAGCGCATCTGGGGCTCCGTTAAAGCTTTCTGTGAAGACAATAACCTGATCTTCATTCCCAGCGTGGGTCCGGGATATATCGACACGAGCGTTCGACCGTGGAACTTTCAGAACACTCGAAACCGCATCAATGGCAAATACTACGAAACCTCTCTGAGCGCAGCATTGGAGACCAGGCCGGACTTTATCTCCATAACGTCTTTTAACGAGTGGCACGAAGGGACACAGATTGAAGCGGCGATTCCTAAAACGAGCCAAACTGTGTACTTGGACTATCTACCCAACAAGCCGACAATCTACCTGGAGATAACTCGCAAATGGGCCGCCATATTTGGCGGTGAGCGACAAAGATGGCAGGAGTGATCAAAGCAAACATTCATTAATAAGGATGTACTACTGAAAAAGGTTTTATTTGCAAAATGCACCAAAGCTGCAAAATATTTATGAAAATGTAAATGGTTTGTAATGCCACAGTGCAGATGATGACTGCTTCATTATCCTCATTTTGGCTGCAGTGATGTATGAGGATTCTTGCACTTGAGTAAACTACTGTTAATTACTTGTTAAATTTAGAAATAATCAACTTGATTTATCACAGCTGAAGCTGAAAGACTTTTTTTGTCTTTGTGATCTGCTACTTTTAGGAAACCACCTATACATTTACAGCAAACCAGTGGAGATAATTCAAGAAAAAGACAAGTTGCTTCTGTTTCACCTTCACCGCAGTCAGAAAGATAAACATGTCACATGATGGTGCAAACAGCTGACGGCTGTTTAGATCATAAAATACTAAAACACGAGGCAAATACTTCTCTTGTTGCAGTAGTTCTGAATGTATGGTGACAAAGCGTTTACACGAATCTCTTGAATAAAGTCTCCGATTAGATAATGGAAGTTCTTTTGGTTGCACGTTGACACATTTTGAACATAGTCCACATTTTTGAACTGGCACATTGTGAGATTTGATAGAAAGCATTCGGAGGTCAGGTGAGCTGGTATCAAACGGTTTAGGGCTTTCCATTCGTTGCTCGGTAACTTATTGACATGAAGTTTCACACTCGTGCTCGGCTCGTCATATTTTGACTCGAAGAATTCAGGAGAGAATGAGGGCGAGTTGAGGGTTCAATTTGAATTTAGGAGGTGATGGTGAGCGCTCGCAACGTGTGATTTAAATGTTGATGGTGGAAAAACAACAGACCTGTCGGAAAGATGGAACTCGTTGAATAATCCAAAGCACAAATGTGTATTTTATATGAATGTTCTTCACAGCATCGGGTCATGTACAGAAGTGGGCCTGCTCATAAACCAGCACGTGAACTGGTTTTACATCAGATGAAACTGAATCAGATTTTACTTTCAGGTCAGAATCAGCCAAAAGTTGCAAACTTGGAAAAAAAACCGCTCGGACTCCCAAGAGCTTTTTAAGGTAGACACTTTTAAATTGTGAAGCTGACCACCTCGCATCACAGAAGACGGAATTAGAAGAAGATAATCACCTTGAAGGCTCAGTAATGCATCTTGATGTCCAATATTAGGGTGCACCATGTTGGATTTTTGGCTGATATGTTAAAACTTATTTTGCTGATAACCAATACTGATAATTTCTATAGAGACTACACAGCTTCCTCTGCTGTGGATTTAAAACACTACATTATTCTGCATGGTCTTTGTCAGTTTGGTCTGATACCAAATGCAGATGCCAAACAGGGCTGAAAACTTTAACTTGGATTACGTTTAATGTCAAATGTATTCATGACATTTACTTTGTCTAACACAATGACAACATTCGAGTGGTCAAGCTAAAACGGCACCTTTTATATCGAGTTATTTTGATGGAATGGCCAATGTCTGATATTTAACTTCATCACTAATGTACCGTGCTGATACCATGCTGATACCATGCTTATACCGTGCTCATACCATGCTGATACCATGCTGATACCATGCTGATACCGTGCTGATACCATGCTGATACCATGCTAATACCATGCTTATACCATGCTGATACCATGCTTATACCATGCTGATACCATGCTGATACCATGCTAATACCATGCTGATACCATGCTTATACCGTGCTGATACCATGCTAATACCGTGCTGATACCATGCTAATACCGTGCTGATACCATGCTGATACATGCTTATACCGTGCTGATACCATGCTTATACCGTGCTGATACCATGCTGATACCATGCTAATACCATGCTAATACCATGCTGATACCATGCTGATACCATGCTAATACCATGCTTATACCGTGCTGATACCATGCTTATACCATGCTGATACCATGCTAATACCATGCTGATACCATGCTAATACCATGGTAATACCATGCTGATACCATGCTGATACTGTGCTGATACCATTCTAATACCATGCTGATCTCGTGCATCCCTACCAAATACAGGTCCTTATCAAAAAATTAGAATATTGTGATAAAGATCATTATTTTCCATAATGTAATGATAAAAATGAAACTTTCATATATTTCAGATTCATTGCACACCAACTGAAATATTTCAGGTCTTTAATTGTTTTAATATGGATGATTATGGCATACAGCTCATGAAAACCCAAAATGCCTGTCCCAAAAAATTAGCATATTTCATCCCACCAATGAAAGACAAGTGTTTTTAATACAAAAAACGCCAACCTTCAAATAATCATGTTCAGTTATGCACTCAATACTTGGTCGGGAATCCTTTTGCATGAATGACTGCTTCAATGCGGCGTGGCATGGAGGCAATCAGCCTGTGGCACTGCTGAGGTGTTATGGAGGCCCAGGATGCTTCGATAGCGGCCTTAAGCTCATCCAGAGTGTTGGGTCTTGTGTCTCTCAACTTTCTCTTCACAATATCCCACAGGTTCTCTATGGGGTTCAGGTCAGGAGAGTTGGCAGGCCAATTGAGCACAGTAATACCATGGTCAGTAAACCATTTTCCAGTGGTTTTGGCACTGTGAGCAGGTGCCAGGTCGTGCTGAAAAATGAAATCTTCATCTCCATAAAGCTTTTCAGCAGATGGAAGCATGAAGTGCTCCAAAATCTCCTGATAGCTAGCTGCATTGACCCTGCCCTTGATAAAACACAGTGGACCAACACCAGCAGCTGACATGGCACCCCAGACCATCACTGACTGTGGGTGCTTCACACTGGACTTCTGGCATTTTGGCATTTCCTTCTCCCCAGTCTTCCTCCAGACTCTGGCACCTTGATTTCCAAATGACATGCAAAATTTGCTTTCATCTGAAAAAAGTACTTTGGACCACTGAGCAACAGTCCAGTGCTGCTTCTCTGTAGCCCAGGTCAGGCACTTCTGCCGCCGTTTCTGGTTCAAAAGTGTCTTGACCTGGGGAATGTGGCACCTGTAGCCCATTTCCTGCACACGCCTGTGCACGGTGGCTCTGGATGTTTCTACTCCAGACTCAGTCCACTGCTTCCGCAGGTCCCCCAAGGTCTGGAATCGGCCCTTCTCCACAATCCTCCTCAGGGTCCGGTCACCTCTTCTCGTTGTGCAGCGCTTTCTGCCACACTTTTCCCTTCCCACAGACTTCCCACTGAGGTGCCTTGATACAGCACTCTGGGAACAGCCTATTCGTTCAGCAATTTCTTTCTGTGTCTTACCCTCTTGCTTGAGGGTGTCAATGATGGCCTTCTGGACAGCAGTCAGGTCTGCAGTCTTACCCATGATTGTTGTTTTGAGTAATGAACAAGGCTGGGAGTTTTTAAAAGCCTCAGGAATCTTTTGCAGGTGTTTAGAGTTACGTCGTTGATTCAGATGGTTAGGTTAATAGCTTGTTTAGAGAACCTTTTCATGATATGCTAATTTTTTGGGACAGGCATTTTGGGTTTTCATGAGCTGTATGCCATAATCATCAGTATTAAAACAATTAAAGACATGAAATATTTCAGTTGGTGTGCAATGAATCTGAAATATATGAAAGTTTCATTTTTATCATTACATTATGGAAAATAATGACCTTTATCACAATATGCTAATTTTTTGCGAAGGACCTGTAGTTTTCATTTGTTTAGGAGCTCCAGATTTGGAAGTTGTTCGCTGCAGTTGTCCTCAAGTTGTAAAGTAGCTGCTCTTTTTAACAGTTAATGTTTGTTGAAAGCCTTGAACACGTCTTTGAAAATTAAAACTCGTTGTGCAGGAAGTGGAATTTGATTGTTTTTAGTGTTCGGCCATTTCTCCTGGAAGTCCTCTTACATTCTGAGACTTTGTGGAACTGTTGACTCGTGCAGCATGTTCAACATCTGCCCACTTTTTTGTCCTGAAAGAGAAATGTCAGAGTCGTTACAGAAGAATGTGCTTCATGTACATATGGCTCTTTGTTCAGTTGACAAGCATCGTTCTTTATGGGATGGCTGGTATTTTCATTCATGATGTACAACTTTACCATGGCCCCTCTGTGTGAAGCGTTTCCACTGACAACGCTGCCCCACTGTTGAGGGGCAGCAGTGGCTTAGTGGTTAGAGCGGTCGTCTTCCAGAGCTGGGGGTTCGATTCCACCAGCAGTCGCATGCTGAAGTGTCCCTGGGCAAGACACTGAACTCTTCATTGCGTCTGATGTGCGTCCCATCGGTGTCTGAATGTCTCTACAGATTCAGATTATCTCTGTAGAGATGTAGTAGAGTGCTCTTTGAATGTGTTGGAGGTAAACGAGGGCACAGATTGTGTTGTGTAGAGCTTTGAGTATCTTGTTTAGATAGAAAGGTGCTGCATAAGTACAGTCCATTTACAAAGCCCCAAACTAGAATCAGTGACTTCCTCTCTTACAGTTTGAAAGGTTGCCTTTTTTTAACAAGTGAAGCTCTTAAGCAATCTTAACTTTTTCATATTAATTAATTGCATCCATCCATCATCTTTACCCGCTTCTTCCATTTTGGGTTGCGGGGGTCACTGGTGCCCATGTCCAGCTATCACAGTGCGAGAGGCGGGGGACACCCTGGACAGGTCTCCAGTCCATCACAGGGACACATAGAGACAAAACCATTCAACAATGTCCATGCTCAATAATCCAGGTATACAATCCAACATTTTTCAGTCAGGTCATCTGGACAGTTTCTTTTTTTTTTTGTGCTGAAACGTTTCACCTTCCATCCAGAAGGCTTCATCAGTCCAGGAAACACACAACACAAAACTGATTCTTCCCCAAACAGCTTACTCCAAAGTGGAACAAACCAGTTATGTTGGTGCTAAGATGGTGTCTTTGGCACGCCCCCTCCTCTGGTGCCGGCCCTCTTCCTTGTTGACAGTCATGTCAAACTGGTTCAAAACCAACTAAATTCATGCTCAATAATCCAATAATCCAGGTATACAATCCAACAATTGTCAGTCAGGTCACCTGAACAACCATTAACTCTCTCTCTCACCTAGGGACAATTTAGAGTCACCAAACAATCTAAAATGCATGT